CTCCTCCAGTGAGCTATCCTGTATGAACCAAGAATACTTGAATCTTGGTAAATCTAAATAGAAAATATTTAGATTTTTCAAGTATAATAATATAAATAAAAAAGTAAAGTGAAGAACTAGTTTACTTAACTTTTTATTTGTATTTCTAACATTATTCCAATACTGTAATCCTTTCTTTTATCCATCAATATCATTTCTAGACCAATATAACTTACATTAGTGCATTTTCCTGTAGAGGACTGATATAGCTGTAGTGAAAGAAATCAAAGTAGTCCCTGACAATGATTTTGTGACACACTTGGTAAAGACTTTCAAACAATGTATAATAATCTAGAATCTGTCTGAATCACTACTGATTGTTTACTTGTTGGTATTTATTTAATGATCAAAAAAGTTGACACATGCCAGCATTAATATATTTTTTTAAATATCTGATATAAAATCATTAATCAGACTTTAATTGCTATATTTCTTATATTTTAATTTGAATTGATGATGCATTTATTCTATGTAAATTAAATTATGTAAAAAATTTTGAATTCTTTAACAAGCTAAATGCTTGAAATGAAATAGATTTTATAAATTAATATAGTTTAAAAAATTCTAATATTTTTTGTTTAAATTTAGCTAAATAAAGTTTGGTGATATTAATACTAGTACAGTATATACTCAAAGATAATCTTCACACAGTTGCCAAAAAGCAATAAAACAGACCAATTATCTACCATGCTTGTGCCAGATGTGGTTCATGAGCCACCAATTGAACCACCCAATACTAGATATAGCATACTACTATAAAGATTTCCTGATATGGTTTTAATTTTTGTATGATATGATACACATACATTTTCAAAATACTCTTATATAGGCTGAGTACAGTTTTATATCTTCCTCTAGAAATACACAAATATCTTCATTGAAGATAAGAATTCTACTGAAATGTTTTATAACTAGATCTGAAATTAATGCTTTGAAAAATATAGAATTGTTCTTATTTTATAATTGGTTGATAATGCAAAAAAGATTTGCTTCCACATAAAATGAAGGGTAAACCTAGAGATCTAAGTTAGATAAATGACTCATAACACTTTTAAATTTTAGTTCATTTATTTTGTTGCAAGAATGTATTAATAGCTTATAATGTAGAAATAATTATGTTATATTCATTCTAACTGTGATGATTTTATGTATATATACACTTTTATACTTTTTAAAATTATCTTGTATTTGATTAATTGATTGGTGGAGGAAAAATTGTTCAAGATTTCTATTTGTTTTCAAACAAATAGAAACAAATACAAAATTTTAGTAATATTTTTTTATTATAAATGTGGTCATCTGTTCTCCAAAGACATGTAAATTCTCTCTTTGTTATATATATAAGCAGTCTCTACATTATTGGTTAATATAAAAATATAAAAGTTTTAAAAAATCTTAATCTATGGTTTATTAAATGACATTTATTTTTATTTCAAGTTTGTTTTTTGGGCTGCAATTTGAAAAAATTGTAGACCTATAAATTCCCACTGTCATCTGTTTGTCTGTCCATTCACTGTCTATTTATCATTGTGGAAATTTACAGATCTACAATTTTTTCAAATTGCAGCCCAATAAAAAAATATTTTTCAAGTAAATCTTTAATAATATAGAATATTTATGTTGTTATTTTTAAATAATACAAATAAATGTTCAATGATGTTGATGTTGAAGAACTAGACGATGAGATGACACAATTTATTTTAATGTTGAGAAAAGAAAATTTGTGTAGCCCAAACGATATGTATCAGTTCATAAAAAATAACATTGCATCCTCTATTCCTAATACCAAAATATTGTTAAGAATTTACTTAAGTATGCCTGTAAGTAATGCAACAGGAGAGATCTTTCTCTGTTTTAAAACGAGTTAAAAATTATTTAAGAAATTCAGCAGGACAGGAAAGGCTAAGATCTGTAGGAAGCATTGCTAAAGAAAAAGGTACTCTCCAATGACTAGATTGGATTGCAAAGATGATATTGATCAATTTTCCAAAATGAAAATCCAAAAACAAAAAATGTAAATTTTTTGAAAGCTGATTAATGACTGTAATTATATATATATATATATATGTATTTCATTATACCAGAAACATTTTATTATACAATTATTATTATATTAATGTTTGTATCCTCTATTATTATTAAAAATTTTAAGATACATTATTTAAGATTTCTTTAGAAGCAACTTATTTAAATGGGGGTCCCAATTTAAATTTTGTGTAGGTCCCACTAGAGGCTTAATCCAGCACTGGTGTTATGTATGCAATTAACTTTATTAAATAAATGTACAATTCTAAGATGTTCTGAAACATCTTTTCTCGTGAAATACACAGTCTTGAGACATTTTAAAAACTATTTAGTATAATAAATGTAATTACTTTTTTACAAAAAATTTATTATTATATTGTTTATTTTTTTTTTAAAGATAGCAAACAGAATTTCAATCAGAAAATAGATGTATCATTTTATTAGTGTCAAAATATACTATGTTACAGTATCATTTATATTCTTCATTTAATTTTAGTTTACCAGAAAATTATACAAGTGAAATTACTAAAATAATGTCTAAGGGAATGCTAAAATAGCTGGTAATTTATAGAATATACATAATTTAAGTCAAAATATAATTATTTTTATTTATAACATACAAATTTTTGTTTTTAAGTTACTTGAAAGTAGCTTTAATTAAGGAAAAATGTTTTGAGTTTTTATTAATTAGATTATTTATTTGACATAATTAATTTAATTATTAAAAAATTATGTATTGTAAATGAGAATAAATGTAAATATCAAGTAGATCANTTTAAGTCGTTACTTCAAAGCTTGAAAGTTCATTTACAAGATAATAATATTAAAGACAAAAAAAATGAGAAATTTGTGAAAAAAAAATTGATGTTCTGGCTTTCAGTTTATTTCTTTAATACCACTTGGAAATTTTTAAAATGTTTGCCTCTCTGCTTCACCGATCTTGCAGTGGGTGAGACTATCCAAGCATAAATGACACAAGTGTACATTCATACATGACAGATTTTTAGATGTTTAGATTTTTTTTCATTTAGCCAAATATCTCGTTTTTATATTTTTATGAATAAAATATTCCAAAATTTACTCGTAAAAGGAATATTTTTGTTTATTAAATTGCAAAATAGAACTGATATTTTATCATTTACACGAACGATTTGCTTTGAATAAAAGATGATGACACATCCGGCTCATCGGCGGATCTGGAGCAAAAATCCTTGAAGGGATAATAAAATAATATTTGTTAAATTTGATATATTTAAGACGTTTTGTATATAAACCTGGAAAGAGGAATTATTCCTGGTGGATGCTCTCGATTCAGTTGTTTAGCTTTCAAATTATACAGAAATAAACTACATAAACATTTTTTTTCGCTAGTAACTAGGTACTTAATTTTTTAAGTAAAATATATATATATAAATTTTATTTGAAATTTAATATATATATTATATATTCTTTTATGAGAATACTGTATATATCCTCTTCGGATTAATGTATAGTTTGATACACCAAATCGTGTAAGAAAACTTTGTTTTTCTTATTACTTACGAAAAATATAATAAAAAGACTAACTGTGAATGATATTAAATTGAATTTATGAAGAGAATTTGTGAGAGAACTTAACTAGAAATATTTTAATTATTTCAAAAAACATGCAAAAAAATTACTACTATTTTCAGTCCACCATTGGTAGAGTGGATAAAACTATTGAACACTTATAGTAGGTCCGGGTTTGCGCCTGACTAATGAGATGACAGCGTGGAGTTTTCCCGGTTTTTCTCACGTGCCTAACACTTAAATAGGAATCCCATGAAAGTCCTTCCGGGAGGCCACCCTCCTTGGCAGATCGCGTTGCCTTATTCCATACAACAATATTTCCCTTCTCATTCGTGACGTATTTTTATCTTTCGAATTTTTATACTCTGATAAGCAGGACCTATCGGCCAATGCCTGATCATTCACCGGGCATCAAAAACATTTGTCAGTTTTCATTCCGTTGCACTTTTTGCATATTAAGGGAAAAAACCTTTATTATTTAAAAAATAAAATAGAAATTTTAGCACTACTTGTTTTTTTTAATATACTAGGAGCCTCTAAAAGGTAAATGGCCAGGGCCTCTCTCGACCTCTGAGAGGCCCTGTTGATAAGTATTTTGAAAATCTGAGTTTTGTATTGTGTTTCTATACATTAATTAGACGTTACTTATTAAAATCAGGTGCTTATTCTTATGAGCATTTTTATAAACTACGGATTAACGAGTTTATTATCCAAAATTAGTAATATCTTTCTCGTTTGAAAATGCTTGTAAGGACGAGCATCATTGCATGATGATGATTAATTAATTTCTCATGATAATTGTACCATTAATAAATAATAAAATTTAACATTTTAATGAATTAAGCAATTATAGATAATATTTTTTTCGATAAAAATACAGTCGAACCTCCAGTAGTGGCCACCTCCTAACGACGGCCGTTTTTTTTATGTTTCCTTCAGTGGCCGTTGTTCACAGGTTTACTGTGTACTAATAGTTTCCGAACTATTAATAATGATGTGAAGTAGTTTCTTAGTAGCTTATGGCGTTATAAATGTTGTTAATACTTTGTATAAAAAAACGTAGTAACTAGACTGTGCCATATACAAAATTGATTATGATTTATTATATCAAATTTTGACAGAATACTAATTAACTTTTTTATATAAAGGAAACTTTCCAGTAAAAATATAATTATGATATATTATAAATGATAGATTTTAATTTTTAAAAATTTGATTAAAAGTATAAACAAAGTTTGCAAAAAACCAACAATATCACAAAAACAACGAAAATTGTAATTCCATATCTAATTTCAATTAGCCCGGATTTAAATAACTATTTAATTTAGAGAATTAAAAAATATATATGCATAAATTTAAATACATAATTTTATTTCTTTTAATAGATTCCAATGATGATGAGTCTAATATGGAGAATAACAACACAGATAAAAACAGGTAAATTCGTCTTAATAATTCTACTGTCATTTTATCAAGTTTAGGGGCCGTCCATTAATTAGTGTACAGTTTTTTGAATCACTTTTGACACCCTCTTTGTTGTGTATAATGATGTACTTTTGGTAAACTCTCTTCAGTTACGTGTACAATAAATTCATGAACCCTCTTGACATTGAAGAAATGACTTAAAAAGTTCTGCAAATATTTTCTAACTGATAGTTTATTCGCATGACTAGTATGTAGGCTTATAAGAACAAGTTCGTATGCTAGTAAAAAGTCCACGTAGACAGTGATTCGACCCTCCCCTCCCCATTTTGTACAATGATGTACTTTTCACGATCCCTCCTCCCCCTTAAACTGTACACGTAATTAATAGACGGTTCTTTATATAATACTCTATTATATTTAATGATTGTTGTATCGAATATAAAATTGTCTCGTTGAAAGACCTTAGATTAAAAATTTACATATTTATGAATGATAAGGTAAGAAGAAAACACAAATTGTATAATGATAGATAACCTTATCTTTTTCATTTATAAAGTCTATGTCATTTATAATTACTCAGCTTCTTAGTGTTAATTTATATTAGTTAACCAGCAATTCTTATTTATTATGTTGATTATTGAACGGAGCGCAGATAAGACAAGCTGATCCATCACCACACCCATCTAAGTCAAAATCTAGCTAAAGACTTGAATTTATCTAGTAGGAAGGTCATTGAATTTGAACGGAAACTTATTTTATATCTTATCAAAAGATGCTATCAATACTTTTAATTATATTTAAAGAATTTTTAACTTAATCAAAATTTTATAACGTTGGAATAAATCAAAAATGTGTATCGTACATTTATCAGATTTAATTTAACTGTGTGCGGCGCTTGAATTTAGCAGATTAAAAATGCCTTGAATTTTACGTTTCTTTTACTATTATACTCTTAAAATTAATAATTTAAATTATTATTACGTCAATTGTAATAAATACTGGATTTTAAGTCGTTACTTCAAAGCTTGAAAGTTCATTTACAAGAATTGTTGCATGCGATAATTTCAGGAATCCGTTTAGTCCTTATCAGTTTTAACTCTAAATATTTAAAAATACTGATTAAAACTCGGAATTAGTAAAGACTAAATGGATTCTTGAAATTATCGCATGCAACAATTCTTGTAAATAAACTTTCAAGCCTGAAATAGCGGCTTAAAATTCAGCCGTAACTAAACGCACTTTTGATTAATCATCACGAATAAAATTTTAATAACTATTGCATGATGTTTCAAAGCAAACACACGACAATATTAATATTATATTCATGCGTAATTAGATCATTAAATATAAAAATTATTTATGAAAATTGTCCTACGTTTAACTAGAATTGTTACGAATTTATATTTTCTGTATGAACGTTTTAACATTTTATTTGAAAAATTGTTATCTGTTTGATGGTAGAATAATATAGTACCTTACCCAGTCTTGTTTAGAAAATTCTTCAAGGCATTTCAATATGATGATAAATAATGTTACGTCTACTATTCTAGTTGTGATTCGCATTTTGATAAGGTCACAAACCTTTACTTATGTAGCCTACATATTAAAATCCAATGCTTTATCATTCAGTCTTTTGCAAATATATATATATGTGTGTGTGTGTTCTATTAATATTAACTGCTCTTGTAAGAATTTCATGTAATAAATCTAGAAAAATATAAATTAAAATAACTCTATTGTTTCATCATATATCATCAATACAATTGGTGTTAAACACAGTGAATTTTCTTAGCTTTGATGATAATCAAATCTAAGAAAATTTCATTGATCCTATTATTCATGTAAAGACAAAACATATTCTTATCATTTACTATTTTATTATTAATATACAATAAAACCTGTGTAAAACGTGACCCGAATAAGCCAGAAACCTGACATAAACAGAAAAAATTCAATACCGTGCTGTCCCGTTTTACATAGGTTTTACTGTGTTTAATTATGCGAATAACAGTAATTAATGGAAATTTTTGATAACGTAACATAATGTTTAATTAGATTTATATCCATGAAAATTAAGAATGTGTCAATATAATAATAAATTTATCTATAATATATTAAAATAATTATTCAGGTATAGAAGAATGAATTTAGACGCAGATTGCAGAGAAGAAATTGGCCGGCAATGCAAAAGATTGTTAGATTATGAATTTAAATACATAATTTTATTTCTTTTAATAGATTCCAATGATGATGAGTCTAATATGGAGAATAACAACACAGATAAAAACAGGTAAATTCGTCTTAATAATTCTACTGTCATTTTATCAAGTTTAGGGGCCGTCCATTAATTAGTGTACAGTTTTTTNTGCGGCCTCTGGGTCTTCCTCTCCTTTCCAAGATAGTCCCATTTTGAAGGAGTGTCCCTTGTTCGCGAATGAACCATTCCATCACGTCTTGACAACTCCAGGACGATGCGGTCGACTTCTGTTGATGGAAAGATGTCGATCCGAGGTCGGGAGATGGAGACGAAGATGGGTGCGAGACACACACACAACAACAGATCCGTCATTTGGAACTTACGGGAGAAGAAGCCATCGCGTCCTTGAATTTCTGGGGTTTTATCCATTTTCTCTCAGATTCTCCTTTCCGATTGGTCTCTCCTCGTCACCTGATGACAATTCGAAACCTTTCGGGGGCACGGGAGAGGTCAAAATCGAAGTTTAATTCAATCTCCAAAGAATTCGAAAATTCGATCTCTCGTTAGCGTCGCATTTTCATAAAATAAAAATCTATTTCTAACTATTATATAGTTTTTCTCTAAAACAATTATTTTAACACGAATTTTAGTGAGGGTTCAGACCTGTCCAGAGCCTCACATATTAAAATAATTATTCAGCTATAGAAGAATGAATTTAGACGCAGATTGCAGAGAAGAAATTGGCCGGCAATGCAAAAGATTGTTAGATTATGGCAGAATGCGGTATCTCATAGATCATAATTACGATGCAAAATTAATATGTTACGTGGAACCTGCTGTATCGCTGGAAAATATTGCTCTTGTTGCAATAAATAAAAAATTATAGTTATGTTATTGATATAAATTATTTTTTATGATTTTTATTACTATAAAAATCGGTTAAAAACTTTTCAAAAATAAAGTTATTTTATAAAACATTTTGTTTGAATTTTTTTTCCTTCATTAACAGAATAAATTATAGATGTGTATGTATATTTCAGTACACTCTTGCTAATCCGGCCGTCAGTTATCTCCCATTATAATTTGTTTCCCTTTTTATTCGTGTTTTTTAAATATAAACAGTAAACTTGTAACATACAATTAATTCTTTATTAAATTTAATCACTTTATATAACTGTACAGTAGCAAAAAAGGATCAGTACAGGTCACATCATTCATTTCCTACATACACACACGCTAATCTGGCACTCCGCTGTGAAAGGAATGGCCGGATTAACAAGCTTCTAGGGTGAAAAGGTTTTAGTTGCCATTTCTGACTAGAGTTTTGTTGCAGTGTATTTTGTAAAATTAAATGAAAAGTTTATCAAGTTTTCTGAAATGGTATATAGAAACTGTATAGTTAGACCTAATCTTAAAAACATGTTGACATGTTAGAAACAGGCCAAACTAAAGTCGAAGTTTCAATTGCTTTAAAGTGTTTTTCCATATACATGCTCTCAAGATGTTTTTAAAATTTGAAACTAGAAATACAAGTCTGAGATGACTTGCATTTCTAGTTCAATTCAGAATCATCTGCGAATGATGACCGTTATTTGGCATTAATTGTAATTATTCATAAAATGACAGTTACTTTTTTTATAACCGAGTTAAAAGAACGACAAAATTATTGATTTCCAAAGAAGCCTGTGTTTGAAACCAGTGGTTTTTGTTTTTCTTTCACACTTAAAAAGATAAGACGACTTTTTCTTTGCATAAGTGCACCGGATTGCACATCATGGAACAAAATTATACAGTCTTAATTTAGTGTAAATGATTCTCGTCGAACCTATAGAGAGAACAACACTCTATGTATTATACTTCGCTTTACATCAGGTGAGCAAAGGCCATTATGGATTTTTCATTTTGTTTGCAAAATTAGGCCGTGAAATATACATACTTTTCAACTAAACTATTCTATAAAGTTTTTCCTGAGTGTTGCATATTCGGTTTTGATATTTACATGATCACACGGAATATCTATCTGGTTTATGATTTTCTTTAATAGCAAACTATTTAGCTAATTCGTTAGCTCATTTAATGTGGCAAACGAGATTTCCGGATATAAATCCAATTGAGGGTATCTAGAAAGAAAAAACAATGTGATAAATCACCAAAAAATCTCGAGCTATTTCAAAAACGAGATTTGATGCCCACTGATTTGGTAATCTAAGTATAAGTACCAGTATGGTAATCAACCATACTCGTTGTGTGCATAAGGTGATCATGTTTAAAAGTTTTTTACGTCTACGTAAATAAAACTCATCTGCTAAATTATCTATAGCCCTACATAGTTTAATGGAATGTTCAAAAATATTGCACCAACTTATATGATTTTGCAACGTAGCTTTTGAAGCACACTGTGGTAAATAAATCACATGTGAGTGGGTATTTTATATTTAATTACATTAAATGTAATAATATAAATTTTAATTTATCTAGGCCTATTTATAGAACATGTAATTCGCTAATTTTCTCATTAATTTTGTTTCGAAGACATTTCAGGATTTACAAATGAGTGTTTATTAAAAAGTTGTGTGACAAGGAAACGCCTTGTGACAAAGCATTAACAGAGGTCAACGTCATTAGATATAAGTAAATATGTTTTCAGTTTTAACATTTGATAATCGACAGACAGGATTTAACAATGAACAATGTTACAATTAACATACTAATGACATACATGATACAGAAAAAAACGAGTCAATCCGAGCTTTGATAATGCTCGAACAAGTTAAATTTTAAGAGAAAATAAATGGCCAACTACAGAAAAATATTGTAATATTTCCTTTAAGTATGTAATTGCGGAAATAAGATTGTTATTCAGTCAATTGTCAATAACACGCGATAGAAAATACCCATTTATTTTCTATAAAATTATACTTTATGTAATTTGATAATTTAATGAAAGCTCAATAGAATTTCAATGAATTAAATTTTCCAAGAATATTTTCCGTATCACTTTAGAATAATAAAATCGAATGACAGAGCAGATTTTTAGATGAATAAATTGTTAATTCGTATCCCAAAAGTTATTTTAATTGTCAATCTATTTTTAGAAAAACTAGTTCTAACTCTTAGTTTCCTAAGAAATCATGAATATTACATTAACTTTAACTGTAGCAATGCATCATATACTTAAGAGAATAAACAAGTTACATTGCAGCAGTTAACAAGTAAGACTCAATATTTTCTGCAAACTTTTGATGATTGATAATACTCTGTCATATCAATCTGTTATTGATCAACTCAACTTGTTGCTTTAAATTAATTTTATTATATCGGTTTTTTTAATATGCTTTTTCTGAAAAAAAAATATATTTTTTTAATATTTTCAAATGGTTCATTAAAAAGTTAGAGTAAGCCATGCAAGAATTTAGATTGGATGTATAAATCTCACTTAACTTGACCTTATGAAGCACTTCTTTGTGTCATTGTCCTTTGTAGGAAGTACAAGTAATAATGTAAATAATTAGCAATGTGATAAATGAAAACATAACTGCTGACCTAACGTATAAAACATGGTTACAACATATAAAGGACCCTTTCCCTCCATTAAATATTGTGAGATCCTAAGCTGCATTGTATGCAAATCCGGCCTTGGATAGCATAGAGATGGACCCAATTAATATATATATTTTTTTCATGTTTCTTTAATCTACACGAAGCTTTCTACTGAATACATTCCTTTAATGATATTGTTTTGTTTATTATAAGCATACAGAAGCTATTTATAGCTGGAGATGCATAACTTATAAACGGTCTACCTCCTATTCTAAAAATTGAGTTACCATATCAGGAACCGAGATGACCCGGGGATAGCATTAGGTCAACCGCGCGATTATTATAACGGTATCATTGTGTTATTGTTTTCATAAGTTATCGAAATAGAGGTTACTTGATAAAGAAGCGGGATGCTCAGAATTGCAACGTGTTTGCTATCAATCTTACTCGTAACAGTTCAGGCTCAAGTATTCAAATTTGGCACTTGCCCCGATGTACCCACGTTACCATATTTCAATATGAATAGAGTAAGTAACATTAACACGATTTATACGTTGATTTTTAAGTAAAGAAATCGTATTTGTTAGTTTTTAGGCGAATGGTACGTCATACAAAGATTTCAATCCAATAATCGTTGCATTAAACAGAACATCAGCAAAACAGATGATTACGCTTATAAAATAACGTATAAACTTTCTGAAACTAGGAAATCGACTACATTATCTTTCCTTGGGTAAGTTATCACTTGATTTTAAAGCATAAAATTCTTGAAAATTCTTAAGTCATCGATTGATTTTACGTTTGTAAAGATTAGAACAGATGATAGAACAAAGTAGCAATATTCATTTCCCATATTCGAATATATCCTCAAAAATGGAGGTCAATCTTCCTCTAAGTAAGTTTGTATTGGTTTCTTGTTGTATTTGAAATATTTTTAAGTGTTAAATAAGTGTATTATTCTAGGTGTTTGGGGAGCGAGTAATTATTGGGTGGTCATGACCGATTATACAATGTATGCCGCCGTATGGAGTTGTCGAAATATGTTCTTTGGCCAGGTACAAAGTGCGGATATCCTCAGCAGAACCCCTAGGCTTGACAGACTTATCATCGATAAAATTCGGCGCAGGTTCGAGGGATACGGGATCAACGTCAATCATTTTTCTGTTATCGATCACAGCGAGTGTCCAGAAGCAGAGAGGAGAAGATCGTCTTTCTTTGTTTTGCTCGTATAGATTAGACCAGGGGTCGGCAACCTATGGCAGGCGGGACGATTTTCAGTGCCACTCTCATTGAATAGAAACGTAGTAAAAATTAAATTTTAATTATTAAATTTTTAATTCCTTTATAACCGGACCAATTTTGATACTATATATAATAAAAATTGGTAAAATCATATCAGCACCCGGAATAACACTATAACTTAGGTTCGGCACAACACCGCTCAAAGGTTGCCGACCCATGGATTAGATCATATATTAAAAAAAGTTATTTATTTATTAAATTATTTGTTTTAAAATAATTACGTTGAATGCGATAAAANTCATTTTTCAAAAAATAAAAGCTCAATTTTTTTGTTTTTAAGAAATAGTTATATTGAGCTGTAGAGTTGGTACACAAATCTTCCAACACTTTTATGAAACCTCAATGAATATTTATTAATTGTGGTTTAGTTTCATTTTTTATTGATTTCTTTTCTCTGTTTAGTGTTTTAAAAATATTAAAATTGTAATTACACATATTACGATTTTATTCGGTAAATTGTTTAATTGAGATCGACGTCATAACACCAATAGAATAACATTTTCATTCAGTCCGCGTGGCCTAACGGACAAGGCGTCTGACTTCGAATCAGAAGATTGCAGGTTCGAATCCTGTCGCGGACGATTTTATTTTTTCTCTCCCTTTTTTCATTTTAATATTACAATTTTATTCTCATTACAACACTATTAAGTCCAGCTGAATCGGAATTTTAGTTGTATTTATACAAAAACAAATTACGCATTACAGTACAATTATCTAGGTGAAGACTTAATTAGAGCATGAAAAAGGGCATGCCTTCAAAAGGTTGTTTTGGTTATTGAGGCATATTTAATAGAGGAAATGTTTTCTTTTTTTCTTTTTTTTTGGTATGTGAAATTTTAAAGTTTGCTGTGGGAAATTGCTTACAACAATGCTTAACATCTAAACGTATCTTTAGAAGAATGGGTTTTGTGTAAGCGCATCATATTTGCAATAACGTAAATTAGAATAAACGGAGTTGCGAACGTGCGCCACTTAATCTGTTGTTATTCATAAGGTGACAGGTGTGACCTCCACCTGTCACGTCCCGTATAGCGTCATTTCCTATACAAGAAGATAGTTACCAATTTACAAAGCTTTTCCGATCATTTGATGTTAGTGACGTCAGGAAACGAAGGACATTTAAGATTTCCCCGAAACCATTTTCATAGTCGCATAGGTACTGAAATTCTTATTTCGAAATTCTCCGAAATATCTTAAAATGAGATGTCATAATCGATACGAAGTCCTTTATTAATTTGTCACGGACGAAAAACCAAGTTGTTACGCTGCTCATTTTTTTTTTGTTACTGCTTTAAAAAAATAATAATAAATAAAACACTTAACATTTCTCGAGGCATGTTTATAGGTGATATTGTCAATGAATATTTTTCTACCAAGGTTTTCTTGCACTATGTCAAGGTGACAAAGTCAAGGTCTATTGTCAACTCACTTGGAAATTTAATTGTATTCACTGTGAGGCGGTGTTTTTTTACACGCAGCAGTACTCGTTTACGGGTTAATTAAATGGCTGACCGTTCTTCAAAGTAAACAAGGAGGATTTTATGAAAGGATTAAATTAATGGTTCTACATCGGTGTTATTTAATATCCGTTTCCCGTCATTTAGGATGTAAACATAATGTGATCATGATATCATTGATAAATTCGTTTCGATAAAATATAATTATGTAATCTGTTCTTAGAATCAATTCATTATTATTACATTAGCACACCTTAAAGCTATCATTTTATATTTGTTAATACAACTTTATGAAGACTTTTATTTAATACTGAGGTTAAAATGTGGCAAAAATGATCATTTTTCGAGTTATTCTGTTATAATTATTTAATTATTAAAAGCATATTTATTGTTTTTTTTAACCATCTTAATAATGATTACTTCTAAGAATATAATTTTTAAGCATATAATATAAGCCTAATTTCATTTTTATTGTAAGATGTATTAGGTCTACTTTAAAGGAATGCGAAAATCGTTAAGTCTACATATCATTGTATCTCTGTTTGAAGAGATTTCGCTTCGATGTTCAGCTTTTTTCGTTGTCAGGTTAAAGTGAAAAAAATTCTCGACACACTTTATCTAGCAATAAAGATTGAATTACGTTGAAAATGGTTCTACTTTTATCATTTACCGATTCAGTTCTTCGAAAAGCATTTAACTGGGTTGATTCGGAAAAGTCATAATCCTATTCTAATCTAAAAGATCGGCATGATAAATAATAAATAAACAATAAATATCCAATTTTCCAAACTTATATTTGATCGGGTATTCAAATTTAAAGGTTAAAAGTAGCGGTTTCCAATTTAATTTAACTCCGAATCCTTTTTTTTTATAGACAAAGAAGTGCTCGGAATGAAGACAAAAACTGAATTCCAAAAAAATTGATCATAAAAAGTGGAAATAATTAACGAAATATTAAATATGCAAATGATCAAATATTTGATTTATTTACATATATTTTGAATTAAAATCAGCGCCTCTTAGTTTAAATTAGCTTTTTTTTTTTTTTTCTATATGGTGAGAAAATTTCTTGCGGAAGTCTAGTTTTTATTTCTTGAAATCGTGGAGTTTCGAAGAACATTATTTGGAAATCCTGTGTTAAAGAGAAATAAATGTGGGAACTAAAAAAAAAGAACTGAATGGTCGATCTTTCAAGAAACATAAGCAACACCCAAAACCAAAACTTTGCTAAAAAGAACTAATTGTTTAGCTTTTCGTTCATTTTGAATCTTCGGTTCTTTTTTTTTCCTTTTATTGATTGAGCGTAGCCTCTGCTGATATGCCTTTGCTACGTTTTAGTTTTCATTTTCCTAAAGTAAATTCTGGTAAAACAGTTAACGATGGCAAATTTATGATGTGGTCTACCAGGTATTACCATAGTACCAGATAAACCGATAGAAAACAATTTCAAGTGCAGGATTGTTACAAATTCCCCGCGGCTCGAGGAAATTAGGATACGGTAGATCTTCGAATAGTATCACTAATGACACTTTTTTTTATTTGAAAGGAGAATAACTTTCGACCTGTTGTAATGCTCGGATTAATTTTTTTTTTCAATAACGTTACAACAAACCTCTTCGTAAAAAAAAAAAATGAGTAGAAGAAACACGACTCCTTTGTAACATAAATAATGTTAATACAAAAAGAAGTCTTTCTTAAAATAATGCTGACGGTTACTGTTTATCTGAAATATTCGAGTGTGCATAAAAACAAATATTACGTAGTCTGGGCGTATTGAACTCTAACAAGAAACACGTGACATTTGGAATACTCTCTCTCAAATCACTCGAACTCGGATCAAAGGCCATAGTAATTTCCTTTTAAGGTATTGTCGCCTTTACTGGTTTTTCAACTCGTCGGTCCAGGCTAGTGGTACGTGTAGTGTAACCTTGATCCTACCTGTTTTATGATAGGAGATGGGATCGGGTTGGTGTCCTGCATAGCATCCACGATACAAAAGCGAAATAAAAACCTGCACTTTAATTCCAGTCTTTATTCTATAGCAAGATTCTACACAAAGCAGGTGAGATATTTCTATAATTATCGAACTCCTAACCAGTAAACGTGACATAATCAATGACGTAGAATTGCATAACTAGGTGGCGTAAGAAAAGGGATTTTCCGGACCTACCTTTGCTTCTTCCTAATCTTCATGGGAAATACCATATTAGGTTCGATTAATGGATGAATTCATGCATACTTTTGTAAAAAAAATATATATATATATATATCAAAACTATTTATATTATTATTATTATTTTTTACTTTGTTTTCTTCCGTTATTCTGATATTTTTGAAACATTTTATTGCAGTTTATAGTTTCAGAAAATGTCAGATAAAGTTCTTCTGATGTCTAAATATACGGGCGCTACTTTTTCTATTTTTTTTTTGCATGTTGTTGTTGTTGTTATTATTATTATTATCAATTTGTAAAGTTTTCTTCTCGTCCAAATTCAGTCCAGAATGAGATTTTCGTGTATTGCTTTGCCCTGGAGCCTCGGATGATGCTCTTGTGTGATTTTGGTGTAGCAGGTCGAAAAAGGAATCACCTAACGATGGTTTAGCAACGCCAACTGCTGTCGCAAGAGTAAGTGAAGGAGAGAAAAAATCCACCATTGCTAATCCTTCATTCCCCCACGTAGAGGGGGTCTTCCTGTGGCGCGTGGGGGAAAACGGGAGCCGAGGGGAGCCCCCAAGCACATTAGTCACAAAAGACAGGAATTTAAACGAAACTCCATTTGTCATGCTGTCACACAAGGTCCTGGGCTCGCATCCGGGGTCTAACCTCTGAGGGGGGACAGGGGAAAGGAATTTGCAAAACCGAATTTTGTCTTCGGTTACCCCCTCCGCCACCGGTATTCCACTTGCAACGAGGTGTGTAGCGTGTGTGAGTGGTCAGTCTAAGACGCGCGATTTATATACACGAGCTACGTAAAGGCGGAAACAAACGACTAGAGGGGAGAATAAACACATGAACATGACGCGCTTGAGGTACGAGAACGTGTATTGCTATGGAGAGAATCCCGTCAGATCGGATGCACAAAAAACGTGCGAGTCTCAACAAAATGCCGTAAAACTCTATGCATAGTGGTATAATTAAATAACAATTGGATAAATAAATATAAATAATAAATAATGAAATAAATAAACAACTAAATTCAACGATTGTAAAAAACAAGTTGTAAATATCACAAAAGTAAAGAGAAATGCTACCTGAGGGTAGCTCTGGTCGCACCCAAGATGCGTCTTGTGCGTCTTGTTTGTTATTATTTTTAAAGTGAGAAAAGCAATTTTGTAATGTGGACAAACGTAATGTTGAAAATTGAAGTTTTGGGTCGTGTCGGTGACAACTTTACGTCCCTCGACGTCCCATCCCCAGCACAGCTTAGTTACTCCATTCCCGTTAATTAACTCGACTTCACATCCACGACTAATTTTCCCAAAGCATAATTAATTACTAGCACGTGCATGTAACGCGTGCTAATGGCAAGGCGACGTGATAAATACGACGTTCCGACGGAAAAGTCTAGTGCGGTTCCCACAGCCAAAAAGACTAGATTCGAACATATGATGACTGGGTTACAAGTTTCTAACTCTTCCGGGGGGTTGTACTACTTTACAGCGTGGGAGAAATCGGTTTAGTCTCCATACCTGGAGATGTAGCACGCGCCCTACGCTACGATGGGTAAAATAATAACACTATAAAGAGTGTGCTTCTGTTTCGAGAACGCGTCTTGTATAGGACAGTCGGTCATCCCGAGTGCAGTGAGTTTCGTGAGGAATGGGAAAGTGTGATCTAAAATGGATGCTATAAAACACGTTTTTCGGACTAACCAGACTGCACTGGATGAACCACAGAAGGATTTTTTAGATGATAGGAATGAGTGGAACGCTTGGGAAGGGGGTGAATGGTTATGTGGTGCTGTGGGGTACCGCCGCCAATGTGAGCGTTGGAATACCAGTCGTTGACATGGAACTACTATTTGGAATGAGGGTACTAGACGACGTGGATGTGTTCTTGACCTTATTCTCGTCTTCCCACTTATCCTGGGATCTTCTTCGAGCATTCATGAAGAAATTACCGACAGTACTTAACTCTAGTCCTAACTGTTGAGAGATGGTGATCTGCATCTCCTTCGAAGGTCTCTTTGTTTCTTTAAAAATGGCTTGTAGGGTGCGCCGCTGCAGGTCGGTAAACACAAGTCGAGGTTTCTTGGGGGTGTTGGGACTCTTTAATTGCTGGTGCTGTTCTTCTTTCCGCTTGCAGGCTGCAAAGAGAAAAGGCGTGATTACAAGCGGAATAAATAATGCACAAACCGACAAATCCTACAAGCAGATCACGCATTTGAGAAAACGAGAAGGCGTTTAGTTGAAGAAACCGGCGCAGCACGTCAGCCACACACACCGCGAACATTGCACGTGTTCTCTAAACTAATCTGTTTACGGATCCAGATAGATAGGAAACGAAAGAAGTGCTTTACTGTTCTAAACACGATGTTTCTTAATTTCAGTCGAGAAGCCGCGAAAGATAAATATGATTTGCAGATTGGAGAGGCGCGATGTATGTAACACGAGCGCCGGGACGATGTGAAGATTGTGTTAAACAACCCTTTCTGCCGATAGACAAGGCTGCAATCTCTGTTTTTAGATTGATGAATGCGCTTTGGCCGTGCCATCTCCTCCTCTAGGGATTCAAAAAATTATATAGATGTGTATCTAGTAATGAAGCCACCGAGATAAGACTTTCTCACATTGCTCGCTCGCCTTTATTGACACGATATTCATTACACACTCGGACATATTGCAGTCGTGCTAATGAGACTGTCCACCTCTTTTATCCTCCGTAAATCGAGATAAGGAGAATTGGAAGCTCTCCAATATGCATCGACACCGAATTACTCGACTAGGATGCGGTGGCATTAAAAAAAAAAAAAGAAGTGAAGTACTTCGACAGGTGTTCCTCCCACTCCGGGTGGTAAAGAAACATATTTCGAAGTCGAAACCTGTTTGAGCAAAACCTGTTATTTTAGATCAAACCTTTAATCTCCTGTGGCGGATAGGAAGAATCGCAATCATTTCCGGGATGGGGGACGCAAACGCGGGTCGCTTTCCTCCCCCCACTCCACTATTCTGTCCGATGGTGATTGAAGTGAGGAGTGGGAAAGGTAGCTGGGAGTAAAAACACAGGCGAAGCTGCAAGCTTCTTTTGCTCTGATAGAGGACAGGCGTGGAGGAGAAGGCGGTGCGGTGGGAAAGGTGCCACCTGCTCGGAGGTTTGCGTGACAGCTCTGGTCACGAGTGAGTAACGTGGACCATCTGCCGTGACGGCTCCTTTCCTCCCGCTTTCACTCATCACGCTGCTAATCAGATAGGTCACGTGGCATGGGTCTCCTCTCTTCGGGGCGGTGTGAAGTAGTTGATAGGGAGGTGGTCTCCTCCTGACAACCCCGATAAGTTGACAGTTGCTGCAAATCTCAACTTAGTTTTCTCTCTTCTTTTACCAATTCTTTCATTTCTTTAAAAAACCCAAGAATGGTAACTGTGTAATTTTAATCGTCCCTGCGTGAGGGAGCGCAGTCAGAATCCAAACGCCTATAAAAGTGGGTTGGTGTCAAGATGCCATTCAAAGCACCGGTTTCGGCCATAAGTTTCACCTGCAACTTTCTTCTGCCAGGTCTATTTTAGAAAACGGGAGGTTAGCTTACTTTACTGCAGTTCAATAAAAGAATTCGAAAGCATCATTTAAAGTCGACTCCAACCTCCCCAACCGAGTTATAAAAACCGCGCTCGGTATTTTTTTCTTCTTCTTTCTTTCTTAGCTAATTTAATACTGGATTAATTTGAAGCGCCAACCCAGCAATTGTTTTAGGTATTAAAAGCTGAAAACCTGCTTAATTTATTCCATTAGATTTTGTTATTAAATGTTTCTTTACAGATCCGGAATGAACTTAAACAAACCGCACATAACGTCCATCTTCCGTCTGATATAATAGGAAGGAAGAGGGATCGAAACAGATATATTTCTAAATAGGGAAATCACGAAAGGTAAAACAAACAAACATCAGAAAGAAAAACTTGTATTAAACACCCCCTTTTTGCCCAGAATACTGGGAATTGTATTCCATCCGAGAACACACGGCACTTTTCCCAGCAAAACCTAATGGAAAGAGCTACAACCTTATAATTGATAGTCTCAGACTTTGGCATCAGACTCTTGTAGGTGGTTGGGGAGGAAAATTTTCCCTCCCTCGCCTTTTCTTCCGCATTTTTCCCTAATTGATGCTACAAACTGCAATTTTCGCGCCCCTTAGCATACTGGCACCTGCTGGCGACGGCCATCTTGAAGAAAATTTAAAAAAAAAAAAAAACAAAATTTGTCCCTACTAATTACCGAAACGGCTTGCATTCATTTAAAAATCTTTCATTTTAATTTTTACTTTCCTTCTTTCCCCACCGCCATTTCTCCACGGCCCATTAAAGGGAAAAGACGATATTAATGCGTATAAACGTATAATAATAAAATTAATTAAAAAATTGTTACATTCGTTAGCAAATTAAAATTAAAAATCGTAAAATTAATAGTGAAAAGTTGTTAATTTTTTTTTTTTAAATTGCCAAAAAAATAAATAATAATCATATCTGAGCTTTCATAACTTATCGAGAGATGGCGCCACATTTATATTAATCTTTAAACCATATGAAAAATTTTAAAATATAATAAAAAAATATACATATATTTTATTAAAAATAATAATTATTAAATATTACTNATTATCCTATTGGTTTATCATCTAATCATCCTTTTTCCATCATCTTTACATTTATTCTAATTAAAACAATTTCACTCCATTTCTTTAAATATTGTTATTTGAAGTCTAAAACTTCAGCAGGCATAAGTGTTTTTAAAGATATTTATGCTCATGGTGTGGCACATGGGCTCAAAAAAGGTTTGCCGTCTCTGTTCTAGACCATATTTGATTTTCTTCAGGCTAATATTACATAAAAATATAGGTTTTTGAATTAGCAATTACTTATCACAAAAGAGATTGAGAATATTAAAATCTCAACAGAAGAGAACATTAAGTTTTTTTTTTTTTTTTTAATGAAATAAATTAATATTAATTACGTTTAGAAACCATGCTCAAGCATAGACACAGGCAAACACTTTACATAAACACAGACACAATAATTAAAGAAAAAAATTATAAATAAATAAAGAATTAAGTTAATTAAATAAAATAAACGATGCAGATGATGGAAAATAAAATTTAATTCATTCCAAAATATATAAAAATAATCTAAGGGAACTCACTGGCGCAGAGTCCCTCTTCTCTGTACGGGCTTTCCTATCCCTGCTCTCTGGTTAACATTGCGCATCTGAAAGTCTGCAATGGAACAAGAGAGCAAACCCTCATTTTGTTTGACCAAATTATTAACAAAATTTGTTAATAAAGAATAGAAGAAAAATGAATGTTCTAAACAACAATCGACATTTAATAAATTAATTATAAACTGATTTTACTAAAATGATGAGAGAGGGAATGAGACAGAGGAACAGAAGAGGAGGAGGAGGAGTAGGAGGAGGAGGAAAATCAAAAATAAAATAAAAAAAAAACCAAAATAGGGGAAACAAGAAAATTACTTAGTCCAATTATCCTAAATTAATTTCATTTAAAGTGTTAAAGGATCAATGTTTTGTCTTCTTCTTCCCGATAATTAATAGGAACTAATTGTTTTTGCCAGTGTAAATTAAGTTTACTCTGGCGCATCCATAAATGGATGAGTTCGTGTCTGAGGTGGAAAGAAAAGAATTTTTGAAATAAAAAAAAAAGAAAAATAAATAAAAAATAAAAAAAGAAAGGCGTAAATTCTGCCTGTTTAAAGGGTGTTTTGTTTAATAAATATGGTTGATGATTGATTGTGATTATTAAAATATTTTAAGTAGTGTTTGTAATAGGGGTGGATCCATTCTAGACGGGCGAGGAGCGATGCGAGCTCGGGTTCTCTTCATTCAAAATACTTTGAATTTTCAATTTTTTTCGAGTCTTTTTTTTTTCTCCCTCAAAAAGTGAAGCTTTTAAAAAGTTGCTTCCCTTCGACGGATGTTATCGAGCAGTCATTTATCGCCGAAAATTTGAAAAAAAAAATATATATATATATAGAAAAAAGCGTTACCTCTTGCGAGACCTTAAACCTGGGACAATCCCCATCCCTCATTAGTGATTCTCCATCTAGACCCACAGATATCGTCTTCTCTCATCTAGCCTACACAGATAGAAACTCCCCCGATGCCGAGAGGGTTGCGACTACAAAGAAAAACTTCTCGTCCCCCCGCTTCCCCCAGAAGGCGACAGGTCTAGGGGACGATAAGCGACACCCTGTCTCGCACTGATGTCAAGTGCCTGCCGAACTGGTGTCGATAACTTGATGTCAATAGTGCTGTCGGCTAGCACGATCGACAACCGGCCAAGTCCAGCACGTCCCCCGTAACAGCTGACACATTTCGACTCACACTGTCCAATCTTAATAACTGGTCTCTGACCGAAACTCGGATGATATTAGTGGGCTGTCATCTTGACCAGGCCATCCCAGATCAGCTACTCTGCACCAAATGAAAGCGTTGGACTCCTCCGAAAACCTAATCGGATGACCAGGAAAATATTCTATTTTATCCATCCTCTAACGATCCCTTTAATTAAAATGAATTTTATCTTATACGTTAAAGGTTAAAGGTTAAATTGCGCGTTTAAATTGGTGAGGTTGTCGAGGTAAATTCGCTAGAAATTTCCCGACTTAAAACTCGGCTATTTCCTCTGTTAATCAATGGTAATTTATAAAGAATTCGCCTTCTGGATGATTAAAACAAATTTGTAAAGGCGAAACAAGCGGAGGAAATGAAAGTTTTGACACTTTAGCCAGGGCGAAAGAAAAGTAAAGCAGGAAGCATCATCTATACTCTCCGTCAGCTTGTTTAGGCTCGGGAGGACGTCAGCCCGAGTTTAGGCGACAGCTTGCTGCACAGTCCCCCTCCAGGACCGAAGAGAGACGGAAATGTCCAACAACAAATGACCCTTACAGACCCTGTTCGAAACATAGGAGGCGGTGGGTGGGACAAATGACCCTTCTGTGTGCAGGTGACTATCAATCTTTTGGCACGGCCGAGTCGAGAACAGAAATCTACGAAACTCGGCCTCGATTTCGTCTTACCATCCGTCCACTTCACTCCCCCAACTTACTCTCCCCGTTCCTAGCCTGATGTCTGTTTAAT